GCACGGAACCTGCGGACTCGGATCCGCTCCGCGGGAACCCGGTTACCTGGCGACACGCCGAGCTCGGTCTCTCTGGGACGCCATTATAAGTGCTGGCGGGGGGGACGGACCCGGGCTTCTCGCGCGCTCTCCAGGTGCTGCTCCCATGGTTGCCTTGGTTACCGTCCCTCGTAACCATTTGAGGCTCCATTAATGGCTGTGGGGGGGGGGCTGAGTGACCGGGTCCTGTGTATCGGGCTGTACCTGTGTGGGCACCTGTGAATGGCGGCCGGGGGGCTGAGGGGGCTCACTGCCAGGGATGGGAAGGAGAGGCAGAGACTGAGAGACATGCTGTGTGACCAGCTCAGCAGGGACCTGCTCAGGTATGGGACACTCAGGGCTATCTACTAACTGGGGTATCCCTGCCCTCTCACACTCAGGGCTATCTACTAACTGGGGTATCCCTGCCCTCTCACACTCAGGGCTATCTACTAAATGGGCCATCCCTGCCCTCTCACACTCAGGGCTATCTACTAACTGGGGTATCCCTGCCCTCTCACACTCAGGGCTATCTACTAACTGGGGTATCCCTGCCCTCTCACACTCAGGGCTATCTACTAACTGGGGTATCCCTGCCCTCTCACACTCAGGGCTATCTACTAAATGGGACATCCCTGCCCACTCACACTCAGGGCTATCTACTAACTGGGGTATCCCTGCCCTCTCACACTCAGGGCTATCTACTAACTGGGGTATCCCTGCCCACTCACACTCAGGGCTATCTACTAACTGGGGTATCCCTGCCCTCTCACACTCAGGGCTATCTACTAAATGGGGCATCCCTGCCCACTCCTCTCAGGGCTATCTACTAAGTAGGCCCATCCCTGCCCTCTCTCACACTCCAGGGCTATCTACTAAAAATGGGACATCCCTGCCCCACTCTCACACTCAAGGGCTATCTACTAAATGGGGCATCCACGCTTACTCCTCACACTCAGGGCTGTTGTCCTACTAGGCTGGGACGCATCCTGCCCTCTCACCCACTCAGGGCTATCTACTAACTGGGGTATCCCTGCCCTCTCACACTCAGGGCTATCTACTAACTGGGACATCCCTACCCTCTCACACTCAGGGCTATCTACTAAATGGGACATCCCTGCCCTCTCACACTCAGGGCTATCTACTAACTGGGGTATCCCTGCCCTCTCACACTCAGGGCTATCTACTAAATGGGACATCCCTGCCCACTCACACTCAGGGCTATCTACTAACTGGGGTATCCCTGCCCTCTCACACTCAGGGCTATCTACTAACTGGGACATCCCTGCCCTCTCACACTCAGGGCTATCTACTAAATGGGACATCCCTGCCCTCTCACACTCAGGGCTATCTACTAACTGGGGTATCCCTGCCCTCTCACACTCAGGGCTATCTACTAACTGGGACATCCCTGCCCTCTCACACTCAGGGCTATCTACTAACTGGGACATCCCTGCCCTCTCACACTCAGGGCTATCTACTAACTGGGGTATCCCTGCCCTCTCACACTCAGGGCTATCTACTAACTGGGGTATCCCTGCCCTCTCACACTCAGGGCTATCTACTAACTGGGACATCCCTGCCCTCTCACACTCAGGGCTATCTACTAACTGGGGTATCCCTGCCCTCTCACACTCAGAGCTATCTACTAAATGGGACATCCCTGCCCTTTCACACTCAGGGCTATCTACTAAATGGGACATCCCTGCCCTCTCACACTCAGGGCTATCTACTAAATGGGGCATCCCTGCCCTCTCACACTCAGAGCTATCTACTAAATGGGGCATCCCTGCCCTCTCACACTCAGGGCTATCTACTAAATGGGCCATCCCTGCCCTCTCACACTCAGGGCTATCTACTAAATGGGCCATCCCTGCCCTCTCACACTCAGGGCTATCTACTAAATGGGACATCCCTGTCCTCTCACCCTCAGGGCTGTCTACTAAATGGGACATCCCTGTCCTCTCACACTCAGGGCTATCTACTAAATGGGACATCCCTGCCCTCTCACACTCAGGGCTATCTACTAAATGGGACATCCCTGCCCTCTCACACTCAGGGCTATCTACTAAATGGGACATCTCTGCTCTCTCACACTCAGGGCTATCTACTAAATGGGACATCCCTGCCCTCTCACAATCTGGGCTATCTACTAAAGTGTGGCAGTAAAAAATTTAATGATTATAAAACCAGCTGGCTAATGGCTAGTAGTGTCTACCTGTAGTTCGATCTGGCTTAACATTTTCTCAGGTTTTATCAGACTGGAAGAAGTGCGGGTACATGTACACTTTAACCCCTTAAGACCGCAGCCAAATGTATAAGTTGCAATCAAAACAAAACGTAAACAAAAACAGAAATTTGCGCTATATGTCTGTTCAGGTGTAAGTCGCCTCTTTCATATTAAGTGCAATATATATATATATATATAATTCTCTTTCTCTCTCTCTTCAGGAGAAATAGGGCTTTCATTTAACATCAAATATTTAGCTATGAAACATTAATTTATTTTGAAGACATTCTAAACAAATGTGAGAAAGCAAGAAAAAAATCATTTTTTTAATTTTTTTTGTTCCGCATGACATTTTAACCGTGAATGTCATAATGCTGTTTGCTTTTACTGCAATAAAATAAACATATTTGTGTTTAGTGATGTCTCACGTGTAAAACAGTAACCTCTATGAACAAGTTTTATGGTGTTTTGGGAAGTTACAGGGTCAAATATAGCATATTAAATTCCAGACATAGTTGGAGTTGTTATGGTGACCAGAGTGCCCCTTTAAATTTAGGCAAATCCAGGTTAAACATGCAAATGTGAGCACCAGCTGATCAATCTCTGCAATTATCTAAGCCTTGCCTAGGAACATGTGGATTAATTGTACCAGAGACAAGAAGTGGTGTGCCACTCCAACATACTCTTGTGGTTATTGTGCTTGGAGTCAAAGGCATGCGCACGGGGTGTTCCAGGATTTCCCCTGTCGGTCCATGCAAAGCTGGCGCTATCCGATCGGTCCGATGAGCCGAGAGAGTCCCCCCTCTCCAATTTAGGACCCCCAGGGGCCATGTGAATGCTCTAAAAGAGCGGTCACATGGCCCCCATAGGTGTCTATTGTGCTGCCAGCAGAGGGACTGATTGGCAGTCCTCCTGCTGGTGAAATTTTTTTTTTTTAAATATATATGTATATATGATATATCTATCTCTCTATCTCGTCATACTAACAGTATTTTTTTTTTTTAAATTAATATATACATATATTGATATAAAAATATACTTAAAAGACCACTATAGGCACCCAGACCACTTCAGCTCAATGAAGTGGTCTGGGTGCAAGGTCCATCTAGGGTTAACCCTGCAGCTGTAAACATAGTAGTTTCTGCTATGTTTATATATGGGTTAATCCATCCTCTACTGGCTATCTCCTTAACAGCCGCTAGAGGCGCTTCTGTGCTTCTCACTTTGATTTTCACAGTGAGAAGACGCCAGCCTCCATAGGAAAGCATTGAGAATGCTTTCCTATGGACTGACTGAATGCACGCGCGGATCTTGCCGTGCATGCGCATTCAGCGGAAGAGTGAGGAGAGACCCCCTGGCCGAGGGAGCCCGGTGCTGGAGAAAGGTAAGTGTTTAACCCCCTTCCTCCTCCTAGAGCCCGGCGGGATGGGGGCCATGAGGGTGGGGGGGACCTATTAACAATATAGTGCCAGGAAAACGAGTTTGTTTTCCTGGCACTATAGTGGTCCTTTAAGAGTAAAATTACACACATATATAATTATATTGTGTGTGTGTGTGTGTGTGTGTGTGTGTGTGTATATATTATAATGAAAAATAAACTGTAACAATAATTTAAAAATGTTTTTATATATAATGTCATTTTATTCTCACTGTATTTTTATATATATATTTATATCAAAATATATATATATATGTGTGTGTATAATTTCCCCTTAACGACAGAGGACGAACTAGGTACGTCCAACAACAAAAAAGTTGTTGTTAGGGACGTCCACAACAAATAGGAGCCCTGGACCGAAGATCCGCGGCGATCATGGTCGGGGTGGGCTGCCAGAGACCCTAGCAGTCCCCCCACAGCAGCTCCGGCCCTCCAGGGTCATGTGATCACATCATCGCAATAGGACTCTAGGAGTTGCCAGCAGGGGGACTGTCTGAGCGGTAAGGCAGTCCCCCAGGATGCTAAAAAACAAAATAATAAAATAAATATATTATACATATACAGGTGGTCCTCATTTAGCGACCTTCCTGTTTTACCACGGCTTGCATTTACGACCAGGCAGTAGTGCGAGCTGTCATGGGGATTACCTGCTCTGGTGTGCATGTCTATGTTCGGGAAAACTTCCTCGAATATAGACTAACGCACCAGAGCAGGGAGTCCCTAAAATGTATGTTCGGGGAAATTTCCCAAAACATAGATTAGAGGTATTCCCTGCTCTGGTGCGTTCATTTATGTTCGGGGAAGTTTCCCCAACATAGACAAATGCACCAGAGCAGGGAATCCCTTAACTCCTCACTTACCGACCAATTCTTTCTACGACTAGGTCATAGTAAGGGAACCTTGTCGGTAAGTGAGGAGTGTCTGTATTATATATGTCTAATATATTATAATTAATTTTATAATATTTTTTACATATATAATGCATCTTTATGATTTCATTATAAGTGTACTTTGATCTATATATACACATATACCTCAAAATATACTTATGAAATCATATAGATGCATTATATAGGTATAATATATTATAAAATTATTTAATTATAATATACATATATAGGAAATAAGTGTGTGTGTGTAAGTGTAAAAAGCAGATAAAATTTGTACCTTGTAAAACTTTTTTTAATGGACTAACAGAATTTTTTTATGACAAGCTTTCGGGAGAACCTCCCTTTCTCAAGTCTGAAGCATTTCTGAGCAAGACAACACATAGAATTCAAAGTTGAGTTGTGATACGGGGGTTAAAGCGACATGAGTGCAGATAAGACCCAGGTTTGTTAGAAAATAGACACCATTCTAGCAGAGGGTCATAAATATATTTCTGAAGAGCAGAGTGAGGGGAGGGAGAGAGAGGGGAAAAAAAAGCAGACAATGGTACACTTTATACATACACACATAAATATGTATATTAGTCCAATAAAAAAGGTATTACAAGATACGAATGTTATCTGCTTTTTACATCTGTCACTGGATTAATACGGTTACAATCTCTACTTGGTGTGTGTGTGTGTGTGTAAATATCTCTATCTCTATCTCTATCAAAATCCAAATAGGTTATGGTGGGGAAAAATTGTGATTGAAAACCCCTTCCACCTGAAGTCTGTGGATAGTTAATACAATGTTAAACAAAAATCTGCACACCAGTCAAGCCATAAGACTTGCTTTTCCCACAGAAATCCCAAATCTGCAGTGATGTTACAACCGCAAAGGATTCTGGGTGGGCATATGCAAATTGGTTTAACAAAGAATCAAATTATTGCCTCATTCCATTTTAAACATGGATTCCTTTTAATCTGTGTTTGCAGTATACAACTGCTTGGAACACAATTTAGGAAAAGATGCAAAACCAGTGAACCACTCATGGACAGCTGTTTCGTTGTTAATGCAACTCTTCAGCATGAGGTTGGTTACTGGAGATATATATATATATATATATATATATATATATATATATTAAATTTTATTCATTTTTTTTTTTATACAAAAACAAATAAAACCGCTTACTTTGGCCAGCATGTGTCTAAGTGGCTACTACAAAAGACTGGACATACCCCATTTTGAATACCCCGGGTTGTCTACATTTGAAAATGGTATGCCTCATGATGGGGTTAATTTTCCTGGGCTGCTATATGGACTCAAAGGCAACATAGGCCCAGCAAACTAATCTGGCAAATTTCAATGTGCAAACATGCAAAAGGGGAAAGCCCTACATTTAACCCCTGTAAGTTTGCAAAAGCCCATAAAACCTGTACATTGGGGGCACTGTTGTACTCGGGAGATGTTGCTGAACACAACATATTAGGGTGTTCTTTGTCAGTAACACATAACAGGAACTGAGAATCCATGACTAAAGTACAATGTGAGAGAAAAATAACACAAAAAAACGACTACCCAAAAGTTTGACAAAGACTGGTGGTAGACTTAGTGCATTTAAAGTGTTAAAATACCACCATTTGAAATAACATAGGGTGTTTACTTTTTAAAAATATATGGTTTGATGGGGGTAAATTACATTGGCCGGCTTCAAAAAATGTCCCAATTAGGATGTGGGTGCTTGATTACCAGCTGAGAAAATTCCAAGTTGGAAAACTGGAATGCGCACCCTCCAAATAAGGTCTTTTAGCCCCCATAGAAGCCGACACACCTATACATTGGGGGTATCTCTGTACTCGGGAGATGTTGCTGAACACATATTGGGGTATTCTTTGGCAGTAACCCTTAAATTTCTCTGTACATGTATTCTTAAATTGCTATGTGTGTCAATAAAATCACCCAAAAAATTTTTTGTTTACATTTGGCATAGATTGGTGGTAAAATGGTTGCATGAAAAGAGTCTAAATACCCCAAGTTTAATACCTTAGGTTGTCTTCTTTTAAAAACATATAGACATGTGTAGGGTTATTCAGGGATTCCTGACAGATATCCGTGTTACAATTTAACCTGCTCTAGTTTTGAAAGAAAATGGTTTGGAAATAGCAAAGTGCTACTTGTGCTTATAGCCCTATAACTTTCCCAAAAAACTAAGAACATGTTAACATTGGGCATTTCTAAACTCAGGACAAAATGTAGAAACTATTTAGCACGGGTGTTTTTTGGTGGTTGTAGATGCGTAACAGATTTTGGGGGTCAAAGTTTGGAAAAGTTTTTTGTGTTTTTTTGTTTTGTTTTTTTTTACATTTCATCATTTTATATTAAAAAAAATTTACAGTAAATTATGATTTGATGAAAATAATGGTATCTTTAGAAAGACCATTTAATGGCGAGAAAAACGGTATAGAATATGTGTGGGTACAGTAAGTGAGTAAAAGGAAAATTACAGCTAAACACAATAACCGCAGAAATTTAAAAACAGCCCTGGTCCTTAGCGGTATGAAAATTGAAAGACTGGTCACTAAGGGGTTAATGATAAGCAAAGGAGCATTTGATCCCAGTTCTATTACCATATGCCACACCCTTTACAAATGTGCTCACTTTACTGTCATGTTTTTATTTCAAACTATAGTATTCATATAATTCTGTGTCTGTTACACATGTGGCATATCTGTATAAATAGTGCAGGACATACACTGAAACTCTCTTATTTTTGTCTTACAGGCTTCTAAATGAAGGCCTTCATGCAGATATCGTTCTCCATGCTGGCCAGGCAAAGTTTAAAGCCCATAAAGTTATACTTTTGGCTAGAGTGCCTAGGTTTTACATCTATATTACTAGGTACTCATCAGCAGAGAAGAATATTCTGGGGAATATTAAGTCTTCTGAAATCCGGGCATTTTTGCAGTAAGTTATATTATTCACTTTTGCCACTTTTCTGTATTTGTATTCTAATGTATGAGTAAATATTTAAAATAAAATATTGACATGCCAATGAAATCCAGAAGAACCCAAAGTAAGGTAACTTTTTTTTTTTTTGTAGTAATAATTTTTGGGTTGTTGATGAAACACCAAATTTGCATCAAAAAAATGAATATAGCCTTCAAAATTAATTTGATCATTTACAATTTCTAGTGTGGTTAGCTAAGCATGTGTCCTCACCTTTTTCCCCATTGAAATTCTTAAACTAAATATTTGTTAAAGGAACACTATAACGTTAGGAATACAAAAGTGTATTCCTAATGCCATCGTGTCCCTCTGGCCCCCTCCCTCGCTGTAGTGTCTATTTAAATGCCCATTTTTTTTAATATAAATATCTGTAAATAAGTGGTAATTCTCAGACCGATTTAAAATTTTACATTCATTATACAATTTAAATTTTATGTTATAGAGACAGAACATTTAATATGCATGCATAATCTTGTTCATAGTAGTAGAAAACACCGCCTTGCTCTGCCCCATGGCTAAAATCATCAATTTTGATTATTGCAGCCAATCCAATGCTTTCCTATAGGAAAGCATTGGGAGGCTATTGCGTATGTGTTGCAAAATGCAATGCTGTGCCAATCAGCATATCCTCATAGAGATGCATTGAATCAATGCATCTCTTTTGGGAACATTCATCGCCTCCATGCAGTGCGTGGAAATGCTGACACAGGAAGCACATCTACTGGCCTTCTGAGTGACTGCCACTGGAGTTGTAACTAGACAGCATGTAAACACTGCCTTTCTCTGAAAAGGTAGTGTTTACAGTGCTAAGGCTTCAAGGAGATGCTATAGACACCAGAACCACTACATTAAGTTATAGTGGTTCTGGTGACTGTATTGTTTAAAAAAAAAAAAAAAAATTTTTTTAAAAACATCGATTTTGGGATAAGCACAATTAGCTTTTATAGTTTTTGTTAGTCAGAAGCATTTCTCCTGATGGACCTGCATTTATGTTAGCAGGACTTAAAGCGGCACTGTCATGCCGAACTTACCTTTCCTCAATCTCTTCCTCTTCTACCCCTCTCTCAGGATCTGTTATTCTTTTCTTCCTGTCTTCTTTAGTTTTCTTTAAAATCATAAGACAAAGTAGGGACTCTTTGCCTTATGGAGGATTCCTCCGCTTGACCAGCTCTGACCAGCGGAGGAGCAAAGTGTGCTTCATTTCCGCTGGTCAGAGCAATTTTCCCATGATCCTTACCTTCCCTCTGTGTTCCCGCAATGCTTCCTGTCATTTTACACGAAACTGCCGAATTGCGTTCTAACTGAATGACAACAGTATGTTCGTTTCTTTTAGAACGCAATTCGGCATTTTATTCGGATCGGAATTTCATTCTAATGAATGAAACTCTGATCCTATTCATTGCTGTGGCTGCATTTTGCAGCCGCTTAGTAGATAACTCCCTAATTCCCGCGGTATCAGGGAGCTATCTACTAAAAGGCTGAAAGACCTAAATTGGTCTAACAGCCAACTTTACTAATACTAAGTAAAGATTACTTAGTATTAGTAAATAATATGCCCCTACTCGCTATATCGCGAGTAGGGGCATGTGTAGTAAGCAGTGAGCAGCTTATAGCTGCTCACTGTAAAAAAAATATAAATAAAAAACTAATAAACCCCCCCATGCCCGTGGGGGCCCTAAATAAAGATGGGGGGGGAACCTACTGGCCCCCACCCCTGCGCGGTGGGTGGGTGGGGGCCCTAATAAAACAATAAGGGGGGGGACCTACTGTCCTCCCCCCCCGGCCCCCACCCCTGCGCGGTGGGTGGGGGCCCTAGTAAAACAATAAGGGGGGGGACCTACTGTCCTCCCCTGGCCCCCCCACCCCTGCTTGGTGGGTGGGGGCCCCAATAAAACAATAAGGGAGGGGGACCTACTGTCCCCCCCCCCCACTGGCCCCCACCCCTGAGCGGTGGGTGGGGGCCCCAGTAAAACAACAAGGGGGGGACCTACTGTCCTCCCCCCCTGGCCCCCACCCCTGAGTGGTGGGTGGGGGCCCCAATAAAACAATAAGGGAGGGGGACCTACTGTCCTCCCCCCCCCCCTGAGCGGTGGGTGGGGGCCCCAGTAAAACAATAAGGGGGGGGACCTACTGTCCTCCCCCCCACCCCCACCCCTGCGCGGTGGGTGGGGGCCCCAGTAAAACAATAAGGGGGGGGGACCTACTGTCCTCCCCCCCGGCCCCCACCCCTGAGCGGTGGGTGGGGGCCCCAATAAAACAATAAGGGGAGGGGGAAAGAACTTTCCCACGCTGTGTAAAATGACACAGAGCACTCTGATTGGGTGGCTTTCAAGCCACCCAATCAGAGTGTTATGAGTCATTTTACACAGCGTGGGAAAATTCAGAAGAACTTTCCCACGCTGTGTAAAATGACACAGAGCACTCTGATTGGGTGGCTTTCAAGCCACCCAATCAGAGTGTTATGAGTCATTTTACACAGCGTGGGAAAATTCAAAAGAACTTTCCCACGCTGTGTAAAATGACTCAGAGCACTCTGATTGGCTTAAACCCACCAATCAGAGTGTTCTAAGCCTAATTGCAGGGCGGGGCAAGGCTTTATAAGCCTTGACCCGCCCTGCGGAGCTCAGTATGCGGCGTGCCCTCGAAGGGCGAACATGGATTATTTTTTTTTTTGCGCTCGTTTTTTTTTTTTTAAAGTGCGACGGGTGTAATGGATTTTTATTTGGCCTTTTTGGGGGCTGAAGAAAGAAGATTTTAGAAAAAAGAAGACGTCAAATGGTAAGTTTAATTTTTTTTTTTTTACAGGTTAGTTATTTTATTCCCCCCTCACTATTTGTAGGGTGAGGGGGGTAGGTAGGGGATAGGTTTTTTTGGGTGGGGGTTGGTGACTAGGGGCTTGGGACCCCTAGTCACCTTGATTGGGGGGGGGTGTTTCATTTAGGGCCCCCACCCACCGCTCAGGGGTGGGGGCCAGGGGGGGGAGGACAGTAGGTCCCCCCCCTTATTGTTTTATTAGGGCCCCCACCCACCCACCGCGCAGGGGTGGGGGCCAGTAGGTTCCCCCACCCATGGGGGCTTTATCTTTATTTAGGGCCCCCACGGGCATGGGGGGGGGGGTTTATTAGTTTTTTAATTTATATTTTTTTTACAGTGAGCAGCTATAAGCTGCTCACTGCTTACTACACATGCCCCTACTCGCGATATAGCGAGTAGGGGCATATTATTTACTAATACTAAGTAATCTTTACTTAGTATTAGTAAAGTTGGCTGTTAGACCAATTTAGGTCTTTCAGCCTTTTAGTAGATAGCTCCCTGCAGCCACAGCAATGAATAGGATCAGAGTTTCATTCATTAGAATGAAATTCCGATCCGAATAAAATGCCGAATTGCGTTCTAAAAGAAACGAACAGACTGTTGTCATTCAGTTAGAACGCAATTCGGCAGTTTCATGTAAAATGACAGGAAGCATTGTGGGAACACTGAGGAAAGCTAGGGATCATGGGAAAATTGCTCTGACCAGCGGAAATGAAGCACACTTTGCTCCTCCGCTGGTCAGAGCTGGTCAAGCGGAGGAACCCTGCATAAGGCAAAGAGTCCCTACTTTGTCTTATGATTTTAAAGAAAACTAAAGAAGACAGGAAGAAAAGAAGAACAGATCCTGAGAGAGGGGGAGAAGAGGAAGAGATTGAGGAAAGGTAAGTTCGGCATGACAGTGCCGCTTTAAAGAATTGTCCCAAAGCAGGCCCAATCACAACAGACAGGGGGCGGCCTGGAGTGTGGGAGTTACAGCACTTCACATTGCCTACACCTATATGTTGTTATCCACTAGGTGAACAGAAAAAGTAAAAGGAAAAACATTTAAATACATAAAGGGAATTAACACAGTAAAGAAGGAGACTATATTTAAAAGAAGAAAAACTACCATGAAAAGAGGACACAGTCTTAAATTAGAGGGGCAAAGGTTTAAAAATAATATCAGTAAGTATTACTTTACTGAGAGGGTAGTGGATGCATGGAATAGCCTTCCAGCTGAAGTGGTAGAGGTTAAAGGATCACTATAGGGTCAGGAACACAAACATGTATTCCTGACCCTATAGTGTTAAAACCACCATCTAGCCCCCTGGGCCCCTCATGCCTCCATAAATATAGCAAAATCTTACTGTATTCAGGCCTGAAGCTGTAGATCTGCATGCTATTTGCCTAAAAAAAAAACAAGCAGTCTGCTGACATAATGAGAAGTGGTAGCCTGATCCAATCACAATGCTTCCCCATTGGATTGGCTGAGACTGACAAGGAGGCAGATCAGGGGCAGAGCCAGCATGATTCAAACACAGCCCTAGCCAATCAACATCTCCTCATAGAGATGACTTGAATCAATGAATCTCTATGACTAGTGTCTGCATGCATACTAAACGTTTGGATGCATTTTAGGCAGCCATGACCCATGAAGGATTTCTAACAGCTATCTGAGGAGTTGCCAGTGAAGTTATCACTAGGCTGTAATGTAAACACTACATTTTCTTTGAAAATACAGTGTTTACAGTAAAAAGCCTGAAGGTAATGATTCTACTTAACAGAACAAATTCAATAAGCTGTAGTTGTTCTGGTTACTATAGTGTCCCTTTAAGACAGTGAAGGAATTTAAGCATGCACGGGATGGGCATAAATCTATCCTAGCTATAAGATAAAACCAGGGACTAATGAGAGTATTTAGAAAATTGGGCAGACTAGATGGGCCAAATGGTTCTTATCTGCTGTCACATTCTATGTTTCTAAATGAATATTCAACATTAATAAATCACACAAGCTCAATAGCACACACACGCACATACACACATACGATGACTACAGATAAGCTCACTGACACACACAAGGTCACTACAAACAGGCTCACTGACACAAACAAACTTACTACAGACAAGCTCATGACACACACAAATACTCTCTCACCCATGCACAAGC